ATTCATTTGGAAAACCTGACATGAATGAACCCTTTTGAGCCATTTATTAGGATAATGGATATAAATCCCTTAGGGCACCTCGCCTCATATCTGGCATGTTAATAAATGGTAGCTATTATTACTGTTCTTGTTATGAGAGTTTTCTTTGGAGCTCATTATCTTTTGGTCTCCCTAACAGTTAAAGAGCATGGGAATAGGAGTCTAAAGAACCTGTGTTTGAATTGTGGCTCCACCATGTACTAATTTACTTATCTGTTTATTAACTTATCTAAGCCTTAGTTTACTTGGCTGTAGAAGCAGATAACAAAATCTCCTTTCAGAACTGTTGTGAAGACAAAGAATGCTGTATTTTAAAGTGTAAAGCACAGAGCAGACACTCTATGAATGGTAAATACTAGTCTAGATTTCCTGAGCTTCTGTCAGATAGCTACTGTTCTGCTGTGTGTTGAAGAGCAGTTCAATGCTCCTGAACATTCTAAATAAAAGAGGTGGAAATTTTCTCTATTATATTTCACCACCTTACAGAAAAGCATAATTCAGGCTTACAAAAACTAGTCCTACAAATAACATTTTTTGTATAATCTATTTGTTTAATGACTTATAGTTACAAAGTACGTTTATAACTGAGGACTATATTCCCAAAATATTTCCCAGATTAGCCATTTGTTGCTGAATTACTGCTCTCATTATCCTTGCAACCCATTCTACCATTAAAATGCTTAACAACTGACAATAATGATAAACTGCAAATATTAAAGAAGTTATTAAAATACTCAGATGTGCTATAGTCATAGGTCTATATCTCTAGAAACACTTGAGAGTTGAAATTGGTTAGATGAAATCAAGCAATTGATCATAAAATCTCCATTTCAGCAGCAGATCTTGGAAGCAGAGGAGGCTTTGACAAAGACTCATAAAAATAGTTTCTTAACTTCTCTGACTTTTAGAATATTGTTTAAATTATCAGCTAAGCTACTTGCTTTTGTCCAGGTTCAAATGCAGTTTTGGGGCTGTGCATTTGGCCTGTTGGTTAAGAATTCAACTTAAAATGTCTGGATTCAACTCACAGCTCTAGCTCCTGATTTTAGCTTCTTGCTAATATACATCCTGAAAGGCAGAAGGTAATGGCTCAAGTAATTGGATTCCTGCTACCCACGTGAGAACTCAGGATTGAGTTCTTGGTTCCTGGCTTTTGGTTCCTGGCCTTTGTAGGCATTTGGGGAGTGAATCAGCAGATGGGTGGTGCTCTTGCCCTCTCCCTTAGGTGGCTTATGAAAATTAAAATGTAAACAAAAGAACAGAGGGAAATGTGAATAGCTTTCCTAAATCTATGTAAATACAGTATGTCAGAGGATGAGATTAATGACTTATCATTTAAACGCAGTAGGAATGCAATTTAAGTGTTAAGAACCTGAAAGTATCTCAGTTTTATAGGACAGGGCTGTTTTTATTATTATACAAACTGAATAATGTGCTTAAAAACTAATCAAACACACTACTTCCCTTCAATGTCTATCACAAAACAAGACATCAGCTACAAGTGCAATTAATTCCTTTGAAAAACTACAGAGATTGTTTCAAGAAGCAGCAGGCTGGGTCCCACTCCCCTAGAGTGTTCAGGGACTAGGGGAGATGCATATGTACTTTTAGAGCCATGTATTTAAGGAAAAAATAACTCTTAACCTTTCAAATGAGTACCTTGCTATATAACTGTTCTTTAAACAAGGTATCTGGCTCCATATGCAATGTCCCACTTTCCAATGTTTTGTCCTACATCCAGCTTTTGATGTAATGATTCTGATCATTAAGCCTACATTTTAAAACATGATATAACCTATTATAAAGATCACAGCTGCTTAGTAATTGAGAATTGAATAGCAAACCAGACCATTTGGGGCCATCTTTTCTACATCTGCTCTTGGAATCCCTACATAAGTACAGTATTTCTACTGTTTGGTTCTTGTTTCCCTTTATTGCTTCCACTTTTTTCCATCACTTACCAGGGATTTAAACCCATTTAAAACCATTTGGGGACTTCTTAGCTGTTTCACTATTTATAATTACCAGACTCATAATTATAACTTATGTTTTTAATATCTCTGATCTTCTCAAAGCCATTTACAAATAAAATACTTTGATTCTCATATAATATCATGTGAGATGAGGAAATTGAGACACAAGAGGCTTTAATGATACACTTGAAGTCGTTTGCATTATTGTCAAAACAGAGACCTGTAGGTCTCACTTGCCCTCATCATTGCTATATCATTTGTTTGGTCTTTGGCTTCGAATTGTGCTGGAAATTCTTGTCAACGGTGTGATTTTTAAGTTAGTTAAACCTTAAACTCCCTGAAACTTACCTTTCTTATTTGTAAATGGGGGTAACTAACAATACCTACTTCATAAGGTTATTCTGAGGATTAAATGTAATGATATGTGTAAAGTAAAACACCTAGAAAACCTTCACTTTTGGTCATGCTTGCCTTAACACTATTTCTTTTGAGTCTACTGAGGGTCTCTGCAGTGTTCTGGAGTTCACTGGTGGCCCAAGAGGTCACAGCATACTCAATGTATTAGTAGGGTGGTAAAATTTAATCTCACCATGGATTTATCAGTCATTCATTACATCCTACCACAGTGGTAAATGGGGCAGATCCACAAATGAAGTAGCAGTAGCCATGAAGTTTTGTAAGTGACAAGAACAAAATGTATTAATGGTTTCCCATACAACAAAGAGACTGTAACAGGGGCTAGTCTACCATGTTTAACAGAACTCTTCGTAAAATCCCTAATTAATACCAAATAGAATGAAATAAGTGCAAATATGTTTCATATAAAGTTTATAGTTTGCTTTTAAATCACATATTCTGTCAAGTTTCAAAGTGTTATTTTTGCAAACAGGGGTACCACATCCAAACTGTACCATTATATAATGAGGCAGTGAGGCAGAGAGGATGGAAGTGCCAGTCTCACGGTGAGCCTAGTTATGAGAAGTTACAAATGTGTTAGGTGTTTTTGCTGTGTTTTCACTACTTGAGTTACCTGGATGATAAAATACCCCATGGTAGTAATAGCTATTTGGTATTTTTTTCCCCTACTTGTTCCCAGGTATTTGTACCAGTGCCCTGGAACAGAAATATTTGTTGAGTTGAATTTTCACTTCTACAGCATCACCATACCCCATTGCCTCCTGAAAAAAGTATTTATGCCTCTACTGATCTCATCCTCTTTGGATTATGCATTAAAAAGGGAATTTGCTGTCAACCAAAAACATTTCACATTAAAATATTTTAAAAGGTTAAACCTAGCAAAATCAGCATAATTTAGCTTAAAATATAGGAACAGGAGTCACTGTGCACTTACTCCCCATGTAGGATCTCTGTCCTTAATGTGTTGTACTATGTGAATCAATGGTATAACTAGTACTCAAACAGTACTTTACACTTTGTATTTTTGTGTGAGTGCAAACTGTTGAAATCTTTACTTGATATATACTAAATTGATCTTCTGTATATAAAGATAATTGAAAATGAATCTTGATGTGAATGGGATTGGAGAGGGAGCGGGAGATGGGAGGGATGCGGATGGGAGGGAAGTTATGGGGGGGAAAGCCACTGTAATCCAAAAGCTGTACTTTGGAAATTTATATTTATTAAATAAAAGTCAAAATAAAAAAATATAGGAATAGAGAAACCTAAATTTCATCTTCACCAGTAACAGCTAGTCACTGGGCACAGGTATAAGTTATGAAAACACAGGGATGAGACAACTTAGGGTTTAAGGTCAGACTCTTTCATTCTGATTCCAGCTCCTTTGATGGTTTTAGGCTTGACCTCTTGGACCCACAGTGTTTCTGTTCTGAGAATGAGGATGATGCCATCTATTTTATACAATTATTGAGAAAATTAGTTGAAATGGAATATTACTGTATAGATAGCAATCAGCAGGTAATAATAATTTTGTGAGTGTTTAACAAATATTAGACACCATTCTAAATCCTTTTTAATCTATCAACTTATTTAGTCTTCACAACAACCTAATGAGATGGTATTATTATTCCCAGATTAGACAAGGAAATTAAGGCACAGGAAATTTTCGTAGAACACCTTGCCAAGGCCACCCAGCTAGCAACCAGCTGAGTGTGGATCAAACTCAAGTAGACTGGCTCCAAATCTACGTTCTTTATCTCCTCCCTATGTTGCCTCAATAAATCACAGCAGCAACTTACTACATGCTTGTTTCATCTATCTATCCTTGGATTCTAGTGTAAAAAACACACTATATAAAGTATTTTCCAGAAATAAACAGCTATTATCTTGAGGCATATAGGGCATATGTGTAAAGAGAGGAAGAGTACACCATGATAAGAGTACAACATGCCAGAAGACAGGAATCATCACAATTCTAGAGCTTTGGAAGAAAGCATATAATGGGTCTGATGAAACCAGTGAGATTTTGTGATGTAGGCAGAATTTGACTTTGGTCTTAGAGGATAGACAACTAAACCCAACAAAGAGGAGCTGGTAGTTATTTCAGATTGTAGGGACAGCAGACAAAAAACATTGCTCTGTTCAGAAAATTGGGATCCATTGCATGTGGAAGAAGGTTTCTATATGGGAGCAGTAACAGTAGAGAGCGGGAGGTGGTTTAAAGTTATTTTGTGGAATATATTTTCAATTTTTAATTGTTATTAATAAAAAAGAACAGATTTAATGTATTTCATAGGTACAATTCTAAGAAGACAACAACATCTCCCTCATCCCCTTGGCCCCCTTAAAAGTCTCAGAAAGGAGGAAAGACCTACTGGAGGGCTAGCAGGGTGATCTTAGTGGATTGTGCCTGTGCATGTCTGTGTGTGTCTGAGAGGCCATGCCAAGTAATGCTTTGAAAGGACTTATGAAACAGCAGGTGTGTGAAACGGCAGGTGTACAACACTGATAGATGCAGGAAATGTCAGAAAACGGGTTGCAAGTGTGTGGTGAGATCTTTAGCTCACATACCTACATTCGGACACTTCCCAGCTATGCCAGTGATGATTATCTGGTTGGTGGATATTCCATGGCCTCGCCTTACCTCCCAGGCGTCCGATTGGTTTGCTTCCTGCTTCTGAGTACCTGATGATGGAGGCAAAGTAATTTTATAATTAGTCTTTTAAAAAGATTTTTCTTTCTCCTTAGTAGCTGTCACTAAATATTTATTGTGGAAAGAAGTGTGTTGATGACAATAACATGTTTTTATTTTTATTTATTTTTGATAAAGGTACTTTCAGTCCATTTATCACATAATTAGTTGATGAAGAGCAGAAACCACATTTGCTCATGGTTTATTTACCTTGATGGGAGATGGGTTTCTAAACTGGGAGCTATCCCCACACACATAACATTCTTATGGAAGAACCTTGTTTTGGATTTAGATGCCAAGGGTTTTAGGTGAACCCTAAGTGAGTGGTTAAAGGTATTCTCCTTAGAAATCCTATGTATTGTGTATCTCCAGATGACCTTTTTCAGACATCTGCTAGTTATTATTATTATTCTTATCTCTGGTATTACATGAATATAGTAAGCAGTTGTGTCTTTCAAAGTTGAATATTTAGTAGACCTGAGAATTCTCTGACATGTTGACTCTAAAACTAAAGTGCTGTATCAGAAGCATGAAAAAAGGGAAAGAGATGGGAGAAGTGGAACAGAGTGCGATGTCAAACTCTTTTTTTAAAATTTTTTTTAATTTTTTTTTTATTTTTGTCAGGCAGAGTGGATAATGAGAGAGAGAGACAGAGAGAAAGGTCTTCCTTTGCCATTGGTTCACCCTCCAATGCTGTGGCCGGCGCACCACGCTGATCCGAAGTCAGGAGCCAGGTGCTTCTCCTGGTCTCCCATGTGGGTGCAGGGCCCAAGCACTTGGGCCATCCTCCACTGCCTTCTCGGGCCACAGTAGAGAGCTGGACTGGAAGAGGAGCAACCGGACAGAAACCGGTGCCCCGACAGGGACTAGAACCCGGTGTGCCAGCGCCGCAAGGTGGAGGATTAGCCTATTGAGCCGCGGCACAGGCCCAAACTCTTACTTAAAAGTAGTATTTAGTTACTATTTCAGTACGCTATTAAAAGTGTTTAAGACATCTAAACAGATTGTAGGAGCTGATTTTGAAAAGACCTCAACAAGTTTGTGGAAAAATGCAATTCAAACATTAGTTTATTTTGGTGCAAAAAAATTGAAATCCATGCATTTTTTTCTATAATATATATTTCCCCCTGAACCTTCTGAAGACCCCTTGTGTGTATGGTTTCTAATTGTTTTTTACCAAAATAAACTTACTTTTTAACTCCATTTTCAAAGAAGCTTTTTCAGTTTCCTCATACATCATTATCAATAAAATTATTCAGTGACAGTAAAACAGAGATTATTATGGTCCAAAATCCCTCAGAAATTCATCTTTTACTTGGGTCATAGTATGTAAGTATATGTGGGCTTCCAAGCAAACACATACCCACACCCACACCCCTTTTGTGTGAAAAGAAAAATGACTTTAAATTTCTATACTTGGCTACTAGCCAATTACTGACTCTATTGTATTCTTTGATTAATGCACTTCTACTACTTGTGTCCTTGTCAACTCTTCAACTTGCCCCCCCCACTATTGCCCACACTGTTCTAGAGAAATCAAAAATGAATAGAAAAAAAGGTGTAAAATATGTGCCCGTATTTTAGCCAGAAAACAGGCTCCACTGCTTGTGAGAATTTCTTGACATATGCACAGTCCTGTTGACCATTTTGTTTTGAAACAAGACAAACCTTCAACTACTCTTTTTCTCAATTTGTTTGATAAATTAGAATTTTCAAAGTTCCCAAATAAACAGAAATCATTATAATTATGAATGATTAATTGCTAAACTCAAGAGGGCACTCAACATTCATTACATCACAGAACTCGTTCCCTAAGGGTAGCACCTTCAATTAGTTCAGTTTTTAGGACACAAGAAAAATGTGACCATCAGTAATTGCAAGTATTTTGTTCAAGACACAAAACAAGCTAACTTGCCTTTAAATCACCTCCTCTCACTCATCAGAGGCATTACTCTCTTTTAGATTCTTTATGTTTATACTCATTCCAGAAAAGCAATGGATAATAGAACACACTTCAAACTTATGAATCAATGCACTTCAGTTTTATGAAGTATTCTAATTGAATACATTCAAATAAAAGGTAAGATGATGGAACAACAAATGGTTTTAAAAGAAAGTCCATTTAAAGATATTTTATAAACTTTATCAATACATTTATTCACTAAATTTGAAAACATTTACTGTGAGCTTAGGCTAAATGACAGTTACCTTGAATTATATGAAGCAGCTAATTCAACTATATATACAAGTATATTTGAATATTAATAGAAAGTTTAGAGTATATAATTAAAATGCTTACTTTAAATGCTAATATTTAATTTAAACATAATTAGCTAAAATTAAAAGTTACTGCCTCATCCATTTTGAAATTAATCACAAAATAACTTAAACAGTGTTGTAAAATTTTAACATTGAAGTATATTAAGATCAATTTGCACCTTTTGTTTCTTTCAGTAGTGGACTCACAGAGAGCTGTTTACATTACATGCCACTGCAGAGTCTCTGGCATGGCTAATGTGCAACAGAATCAAATATTGATATGTCCTTGACATTTCCTTTGCACAAAAGACATATGCTTTAACCTTCCAGGCAGTAATGGCCAATAGCAAGGATATGATTGTTTAAACTTTAAAGGGATCTAAGTTTTAGATATTAATTTTGGTCTTAATACATTTAGGAGGAACTGCTGGTTTTCGGAGATGATTCATGTGTATGTAATGATCAGTGTAATAAAATTTCTTGAGGGAGCTCAATAAATGTAATCAGAAAGTGTTCAGAGAAAGGTTCTAATTTTAACTTGTATTTAAACAAATGGCATGGTCTGTATACATAGTAACCCAAGGAAGAAGAGAGAAATGCAGAACAACTATTCCCACTCTCCAGAATCTGAGGATATCCTAAAACCCTTGAGTAGTTAGTCATCTCTAAGGGGCTTCCTGGTGCAGGGAGAAACTACATTCATGAATATCTAACCTTCCTGGTGACTGGTAGGAAAAACTACTAAGCTGTGCACATTTGTCTATTAATAATTATTGCTACCATTTATTAAATAAGTATTAGGCACTGAACTAAATGCCTGATGAAGTAGTATTAGGCTCATATTACAGATGGATGATATCAAGCTTGGAGAGGCTAAAGCACTGGACCAGGCTCACATAGTTGTTAAGTGATGGAGGCAAGGTCTGAAGCCTCAATCCACAGTTCCGCACCTCAGTGTCTCTGGCTAAGGGAAGAATCACCACCGCTTCCACCTCCTGCACTATCACCACCACTACAAAATAGTGTTTTCTCTTGCAGTAACAGTGTGAGCTACTTGGCTTGACCATTTGTACATTTGGCTTGGCTTTAACTAACTAAAATCTCTTGCCTCAAGCTTAGTATCTTCTCATACCAAAATGTGCAGAATTGTCTAATATTTTACTAAAACCTGGGTTTTCTATTCTCCAATGGACCTTTGAAGCTGAGGAAATAGATTTCCACCATTCTCTGACATTAGCTCAAACCTTTCCACAACTCCCCCCTCCACTCCCACCAATAACCCTTCAGGCATTTTAACCGAGAGAAGACTGTAAAAGCAGACTCAGCTTATACATCAAGTCAAGTTGCGCAGGGCATTCCTTTTCTTTTCACACGAGCACTACTATGTGGTGTTCCAGGATACTGGTAATCCATACCTCAACCGCCATCTGTTTCTGTTTCTTCGAGTTATTCTGCCTGCTTCCCACTCAGGTTCGGACTTGGATGCATTTTCTGCAATGTACATGGGAACTACACAAAATACCTCTCTTATTTAGATAAAGTGGTATTAGATTATGGTCACAGTCACTCATCTATTGCTCCTCAATGTAACATTTCAACGCTGATCAGTATCTTAACTCTGGACATCCTCAGAAGACTCAAAGGGTTGGAATCATCATAGAGCAATCATAATGGGGAGCGACTGTCTGAGGAACGGAAAAGGTGACACACAGGCACATCTGCTTGGTTAATCTTGCTAAGGCCGTTTAAATACCATCTGTTTTCCCATTCTTCTCAGGCTACTGTCTTCCTCGAGGCTAAAAGATTTTAAAATTACTGGGGAAAAATAAAAAAAAAAAACTTCTTGAGAAACTAGTTGGAGATTTTAATTCAGTATTTCATCTGCCAGACAGTGAAATGCAGTTAGCCGCAGCAAGTGTTCCTAACAGATAACAGCATTGTTGCTTCACATATAATTACACTGGGTCTATGGTAGACATGGCCAACTACGTCATCATCACACTATTAGAAGTGCTGGTAAGGCTGAAAAGAATCCATTGTGAGTAGGGTCAGAGCTACTTTTATTTTACTTCAAACCAGGGTTATCACGGCATAAAACCAATAATTCCTTTGAGAAAATATTTTTGGAATACAAAAAAGTAGTAAAGGGTAAATGAAACTGACAGTTATGACTGGCAGAGAGTTCAGGCATTTTGTGTTCTTTTGTGTTTGCTTTGGAATGTTAAACAGGTTGGGTTCTTTTTAAAAGAAAACATTTTATTCAGAACATTCTCCCATGAAAGCCCTCTTTGACAAAGTGTCATTTTTTGATATATTAGTACATGTCTGCCTACATTTTATATTCAAAAAAGGCAAGCAGTGTTTTAACAACTTTTGACAAGCATGGGGAATTAAACTTCCACAGAATCAACTCTTTTAATGTAACACTAGAGCCTATTTTTATATTTTTTATTTTGTACTTCTTCATGGCCGACCCCAGCATTTTCAATTCTGTCAGCTCATGGTTGGAAAAAGCACAGAGACATTAAAGATGAGTAATTAGAAAAGAACAAGTCAACACATCAATAGCATTTGTAAACATGTAACTTTGAAATTTCTTAAGAAAAAGGGCTACAGATATAGCACTAGTGAATTATAAATGGACAAGAGGAAATAAGTCAAATAAATTTCTAATAAAACAGGCAAAACTTTTTGATAAATTCAGCTAGCTCTTTTTCCCAAATTTAAATTGTATTTATT